TTGGGAAGTGTGTTTTTTATAAAAATTTTATTTTTTTTTTTTTATATTTTTTTTTTTTTTTTTTTTTTTTTTTGTTGTAGGGGTATTTTTAATTTTGTAAATTTTTTTTTTTGAGAAGACCAAAAAAAAAGGGAAGAAAAGGGGGTGGGGGATGGGGGGCCGGGGGGGGGTGGGGGGGGGGGGGGGGTACTCTGGATTTTTTGGGGTTTGAAATTTTCAATTCTGGGATTTTTTTTGGTAGTAAAATTTGGCAAGTATTTTTTTGGGTGGCCTGATTCAAGAAGGGATTTTTTTTGGTTATTCAGAACATGATAGTGCCTGCGTATCCCAACTGCTTAGTTTTGTGATTTAAGTACAACCAATTTTGTTTTCCTTTCTGGAGATTTTTAAGGCTCAGAAATTCGGCATTGGAGTTTTTGGGGGTTAATTTCTGGTCCAGGTATTTTTTGGGGTTTTGTTGGAAGCCCTAGGGATTTTTTTGGGTTTTGATATTTGGCCCCATTCGATCATCCCTGTTGCCTGAAATCCGAAGTACCCCCCCAAACTGGGATCGGGAGGAAGGGAAAAAGGAAGGCTTTTCTCCCCCTCCCCATTTTTTTGCACCTGCAACGCAGTCTGTTTTGGAAAAGTATGAGTTTACATCACATGTAGTTGATTATAGGTAATTCTGAATTTTACTCATTAATTATTTGTTTCGTCTTTCATCTAGGGACTAAAAGAAGCTGAGCAATATTTTGGTAGAAAAGTTGATCTAGTAACCAAGCAGCTGGAACTCCTTCAACCAAAATTACTTGAAAAACATAAACTAAAACAAGGTACGTAGGAAACTCAAAGATGACAGTGGGTGTAATCCATTCAACAATAAATTCTGGTTTGAAATCAAGAAAGTTCCACGTATGAAATGAAACATGTCACATGTTTTTTAGTTATTGAAAAATTGTAAGGATTTTTTTGCGGCATTTTCTTGCCAGTTGAGTCCAGGGTGGATGGTTTCTCAAACTCGGAACAACTCCTCAAAGTCTTGTAAAATTTACCATTCATTCTATGAGTTTTGACATTTTTGCTAAATGACTAGTTCCCAGTGACATTTATTTCACTTAACTTTTGGATATGTGGTAGTCTTATATCAGTGGCTATTTACAAATTCTGAAGATGTCATAATGCAAAGTGACCTTCTGCCTATGCATAAAGCCATGTCAAAAAAGTTAGACAGTTTCAGAGGCCAAAAAGGTTAATTTCTTTAATTTTCTAAAATGTAAACCTCTCCTGTTGAATTAAGGTAAAGTTTGTTTGAAAAAGTATTCTTTTGAAGAAGGGCAATCATTTTTGTCGTAAATTATTTGAAGTTAGCAATAGCTGTCTCTTTCCTGAAAAGTGAGATAACTTACTTTATTTAAAGATACTTCTTGAGAGACCGACAATCCTTTTTTGAAAACCATACAAGCATAAAAATTGCCTTTTCTCTTTGGAATTGTGTGTTAAACAAACGTATTGTGAATATGTCAGGAATAAAAAAGAAATTTCTATGTACATGTAAATACATATGTCAATGCCCCCCTGACATCCCATGGTGGCTTTTAAATTCATTTAATTGACTATGGCCTTTTTTGTGTCACTTTGCAGCTGTTCAAGACATGTTGAATATGAAGGTGCAAGCTCAAATCCAGTCTCAGCTAGGTGGAATTCCTGCAAAGACTTAAACGTGTTCTCAATTTTATCTGTCAAAGCAACTTGTATTGCAAAGCTCTTGGACTCACAAATCCTACTTTAACTTCACTTTTGTTGTTTGGATCTACAGTGTACAAGTTCACAAGACTCCAGCCTTGTAACGGAAATTCTTATTTTCCCCCACACTGAAAAGAGAGACTTATTCTCAGTAGCTTGTTCTAGACATTTTCTCAAAAATCAAGTGGTCAAAACTGCTTCTTTCCATATGCAGTGTGAGGACATTACTTCTTTGTAAAGGATGGAATTATTGAGAAAACTAAAACTAAAAAGGTTTATTTAAACATTGCATTTGCATCCAAACAAGCTTCTGCTCTGTAAAATACAACAATCTATCCAGAAAAAAAAAAACATGAAATGGCCAGTTTACCAATAAAGAGTATGTCTAAATTAATTCTTGAAAGTTGACTAAATCTTCATTTTTTTCAACACCCACCAAAAATAATTTGGTTTCAGGCTATCAGCACTTGTTCGAGATTGTTAGTTTGTTACTCCACCTTATTAGGGGACAAAAACAAAAACATCTTAAACAATAATTAATCAATATTTTACTAATAGACCTAGCAGCAAAAAATCTGAGAGAAATTTAGTTCTAAAAATTAATGATTTATGCCTGATCTTATAATGTTCACAAATTGAAGAGAGGTTCATGGGTGTAGCGTGAGAGTTTGAAGGTGTATTGCACAAAAAGAAAAGTTACATGATATGGAGGACCAGACCAGGTGGGCCGGTCTGGGGGCATGCTTCCAACCCCCCAGGCTTCCCCTAGACAATTTTTAAATTTAGGGTCTCGGAAATGCCATTTTCTGCGTTTTTCACAGGACATTTTCAGTAACTTTACTAAATACCAGGGAGGCAGCTAGTTGTTTATTTTACACATCTCTAGTGTTATGGAATGATAACAGGATGAAGGAAATACTAACACAAAGACACCAATATGATGCAAAAAATTTATCAGTCATCCCGATTTAGTGATAAAAATGTTCTCAGGAAATGGAAACAAAAAGTTTCCAGATTTTATCTGTACACACGTGTGCCTGTATGGACGCTACTCTCCTGGGGTTACTAGTGACAATAATACACTAGTGTGAAAAGAAGGGCAATGTCCATAGAGTGTTCAGATAAAAGCTCTGTTGGCTGCAATGAAACATTCTTCACTGGTTCTACTATCTCTGAGGAAATGAGGAAGGTAAAGGACTTTTTCCTGTGTGCTCACGTTTTTGTTCTATCTCCAAGTAAAATAAAGAACCATTTGCAGTCTACCATTAATAGATTAACAAATAAAAACAGCATAAAATAAAACCAAAACCATGGACACAAACTGAAGCCCCACACATTCTTTTGTTATCCACGTTATGGTTTTATTTATAATTTGCTATCAAACTGGCCATGTTCTAAAGTTGCCCCATCACCTTTTTTTTTCTTAGTTCAAGTCTTAAAAAATAGGATGGTATAGCAGTGATAATGGCAATTTATTTTGTCTTTTAAAATAACATGATTGATATAAGGTTATTATAATAACCCGATACTCTGCTAATCTTCTTGAGCCGTTTAATATATTTTCTTATGAATTCCATGTCCGTTTTAGAGCTTGCAGCAGTGTGAAAAGTAAGGATATCTTTTTGAGAGAAATTAAAAAACATCTATTTTAAAATTTTTAACTTCGTTATTTTATTTTATTTCTTGTTTTCTGTCTTTTGCCAAATTTTTACCTTGTGGTCCAAATTTAAAGACGCTCATACTTACACCTGTATGACGTTAATAGTAAAATTAAGTGAAATTCTAAAGTGTGACCCAATTATATGAACGACCATAAAAGCTTTCACTTGGGACTGTTACGTTTTCGAATGATTTTGTTAAAGATCAACCTGATTTAAAACCCACCAACATAATTTAATATACTAATTTTTCCTGTTGGCTGTAGAAAGTGTTGTTGTTAGAGAATAGACGTAATCGTTAATCCATAAACGCGCATGGAAAATCGTTGCTATTTTGATTTTGCCATAACAAATCTGTTGATTTCTATAGAGGACAGCTGATTTGCATTTAATTTACATTAAGTTTACAATTCGCGCGTATCAGCATGGCAACAAGACGTATATTGATGAAGATCGCGACGAACGATTAATACAATTGTCATCCATTTTATCAACAATAATCGCAAAAAATTTCCCCGTATCTCGGCTTGTTTACTGTTCAAGGGCTTGAAAGTGATTTTGAAGCTTGCGAATTTCTGATTGTAATTTACGCCGCCGAAATTTAATCTAATTCACTGTTGTTGTTTCGCGGTGCGCACTGACGAGTCTTGAGGGAAGATGTCTGACGGTGAAGCAGAAAATGTGAAGGTAGCAGTGCGAGTGAGACCATTTATATCCTTTTAACTTGTTTTACAACGTAATTCTACCTCTACAATTTAATTTACAACACGCCGTGCGCGATGACTCTGATGATGTCGAACTCTGGAATTGATTTGACAAGTGTGCAGTGTTTGTATAGTCCACTCTCTATTTGATTTTTCATGACCCGATATTCAAATTGCCCAGAGGGCGTAAAGGGAATATATCTTTATTTATCGCTTTTACCAGTAAACTGTTTTGCTAACCGGCAGAGCAGTTGAAATCAAATTGTAATCAGCAATATTTTATTACTAGATATTGCAGTCAATATGGCGATGACTTGTCAAAATTCAACTTGAACTTTAAAACACTCTCCACACGGTCCTTATGAGATTTGGATTTAAAATTCGTGTAGTGTTACAAGTACTCTCGATTAAGTAGGGTCAAATTGGCTATCTTATATCGATTATATTTGAATCTTTTGGCATTAAAACATGCAACAATCATGTTTTATAATTTTGTTCAAATTAAGTGCAGCATAATATTGCTCATTAATGTTTTTATAAAGATAATATTGTCAATTTCTGTTGCAACTTAATAATATTATTAATTAAGCCAGATGGGGAATATAGATGAAGATGAGGGTTGGGGGTTGATTTAAAACCATGCAAGGTGCATTCGAGGTCAGTGAAGGATTTACAAGTGCCTATATTAACAAATAATGCCAACAGTGAGAATTTTCTTTGTCACAAAGAAAAAGTTGTTGTTGTTGCTGCAAGATTTTTTCATTCTAGAAGTAAGACAAGGTTAATGCAATTGTTTTCAGTCGAAGTGGTCATTTACTTTGTGAGGTTATGTGAGTTGCATGCCTCAGGGGCCTGAAAAGAGATAACAGGGATGGGAAAGAAATTCTCCCCTTTTATGCTTCACTTTATTTCGATCCCTTCCTTTCAGATATCACTTGGTAGCATGATTCTCAGACGTCCGAGGCCATTCATGGAAGGGACCACAAACGACCTCAGACGTCTCAGAATTAGGCTAATCACTTGGCAGCTCAGAATGATAGCAGCTAGCTGTAATGCAATTGAATTGTCCCTAGAGTGAAAAGTCCTTCAATTCCTTCATATAGTAAGTGGGTATGTGCTACTGCCCAGCTGCAATGGAGCTGGTTTAGATCTGGAAATGGGTCCTCCTAATAAAGTTTTTGCCTACAAGTTGATTTGCCTATACACTGATATTGATCTGCCCAGTACATGATCTGAGCTGTTTTGCCTGCACTGAAGTTATTTTGCCAACCTTTAATACTTGAGGTACATAAGACTTAGAAGCTTACCTGTAATGATTAGAAAACTCAAGTTTGCTCATAGACCTCTTTCATAATGGCAGCCCACTTATTTACTGTATGTTAATGAGTCTTCCTAGTCATGTTTGAAACTAAGAATTCTTTGGTATTTTTTGTGCATATTAATGAGGTCACAAAGGCCAATTATCATACATATAAATAAATATATATTAATAGGCCACCATTATGAAAGAGGTCAATAGTACATCATTAAATGGAATTATCATAATTTGCTCCTTAACAATTCTCACAATAAACGTGAAAAGGCCAGAAATTCAACATTAATTGTTGAGATGAAAGGACAGACAACTTACCTGCAAAACCCTGAAGAACCCAATGAGGAACCAAAGAAGTTCACATTTGATTTCAGTTACTGGTCACATGATGGCTTTGAAGAGAAACCTGATGGCTACCTGGCTCCAACTGTTCCACATTATGCAGATCAGGTATGAATGGCTAAATGCATAAAACTGATTATGATAATGAAAGAAATATGGTATGAGTATAACTCAAGGCTGGGCTCTATAAAAATATATAAGGGGGCGCGGTACTCCGAACCTGTGAAATCCAGGGTGCCCAGTACAGGATCTACTGTAAATCCTCTATTAAGCCCCCCCTCTCAGTAAGCTCCCCTCCTTTCTAATACCCCCCCCCACCCTTTTCAGAGGAGGAATGTTAATAAGCCCCCCCTCTCTGTTAATCCCCCCCTCCCCTTCATCCTTATTCTTCACAAACAATTAACGTGGACTGATCAGTTATGGTTTATTCAGGCTTGAAATTCATATTGTTTTTAGTCTTTGGCCTCAAGACCTCCAACTTCATTTGCTGAACTTTTTCAACTTTATGCTCTAGTTCTCTATGGAGAATTGTTACCATTTTCTTTTTGTTAGAAAAAGCAGTATAGCGCGCGGTAACCACAAGTCCGTCCTCGAGAAACCTTGCTGCCATTGATGCATTTTGCTAAATTAAATAAGCTTCTCCTCTCTATTAAGCCCCCCCTTAAAAGTGTTTGAAAAAAATAAGCCCCTCGGGGGGGGGGGGGTTAATAGAGGATTTACGGTATTTAAAAAAGCAAATATCTTCTGGTTGCCCAGGAGCAAAATTTAAATGCCAGCTGGGGCTACTGGGCACTACTAGAGCACAGCCTTGTAACTGCATTTGACATCAGGAGAACGCAACCTTAACTCAACCTGTGAGAAACATGGGCACGAACATTAAGCAGAAAGCAACTCAAATTTTGAATGGGTCATGCACTGGAAGTGGAAATACGGCATAGACCTTAGACTTCTTATTCCAAGAGCTTGTCCCTTTGGATCACTAGTGCTTTGGAGAACAGAATGTTTTGAAATGCCATGGGGCTCGACATTGAGAACACCAATAATTAAGAAAATTTACTGTTGAAATGACAACAGACATAATCAGCAGTCCCTCGATCGTCACCCCTTTTCCTTGTTTGTATCCGGTTGCAGATTGGTTGAAGGAGACTAGCATGGCATCATCCCCAATATTCATCTCGTACACAATTTTATCCCTTGCTAATTTTTTTAAAGAAAAACAAAAGCAAAGACTGTGGATGAGTCAGTTTAAGTAATTTGTACACATAGCACATCTTATTGTGTTGCAGATGAAAGTGTATAATGACCTTGGCAAGGGGGTCCTGGATAATGCTTGGGCGGGGTTCAACACTTCACTGTTTGCTTATGGTCAGACTGGATCTGGAAAATCTTGGTCAATTGTCGGTTATGGTGCAAACAAGGGTATGTAATAATCATGCAGACCTTAATCTTCATTGGCTCAGACCCTAGGCATGATTTTTCTTGGATACCTCCTGGGTCACATGTTAGTCATTCTATGTTGTCTTGGAATATCGTAAAGGCAGCTAAGGATGAAAATTGTTTTTAGTGGGGGTGGGCTGGGGCAGGGAGGGGTTGCACTTCCCCTACATGGCTATAGTTTCCAAGTCTCTGGGTAAAACTGATTAATTTACAGAAAGTGTATAATCTACGTTAATAACGCTATGAAACATTTACCTCTCAATGTAAATATTCCTTTGAATAAAATTATTTTGTCTTGTTCACAACTGTAATGTTGTCAGATTACAAGTCAGACCTCTTCACCTACATGCCATATTGTTATGTCCATTTTTTTAAATGGCTGAGAGTTTATTTTATCAGTACAGGTATCTTCGCAATAAATGACCATATGATAGTGTGGGAATTAAGGCCCTTTTAAAAAAGTGACCCTGAAATTTCAAACTCCCCTTTTCGTTTTGCTGTAAAGTACATCACAATTTAGGAGGAGAGTCCAACAGTTTATCCGAAATCACTGAATGATTTTTCCATAGTATTCTTCAGTGATATAATTATAAAATTAAATATTCCTTCATTCCATTTAACATAGGTATTGTGCCAGTCTTTTGTGAACAAATATTTGTGGGAATAGAGGAGAAAAAGCAAAGTGGCGATACAGGACAGTATGAGGTAACGAAAGGATCTGAAAAATATATTCCTATTAATCAATTGGATTCAAATTAAAATAAAGCTTTATAGACAAATTGAAGACTTGTGTCACTTGTGTATTTTGTGCAGAACTATCACCATTGACATAATCTGAAAGATGCCTGGAGAGTTTACTAAAAGTTCTTGAGAATTCTTCTTTAAAATGATCATTATTTAACTGGGCACACTTTCATGTCATTAATTTATTTTTTTATGTCACAGTGTAAAATAAAATGGGATTGAATAACACATGGTTTTGTTGTAGGGTTTTTATACTGTACTAATGTTGACATATATATAAAGAAGTGAAGGCATAAGGTGTACTTTTGATACCCGACATTTCATGTGCTGTTAGGTGCATTTTAAACACACAAGTGCTGTATCATAACTACTGGCTTAGTTTAAATGTTGACAATTGTTGTTTACTTTTTAAGGTGGTGTTTAGTATGCTTGAGATCTACAATGAAAAAGTGCGTGACCTTTTGAATCCTTCAAACAGCAAAGGAGGCCTGCGTGTCCGTCAACACCCAAAAAAAGGCTTCTATGCTGATGGTCTTAAAACTGTGCCAGTGAGTAAATACAAAGATATCGAGCAGCGCATGGAAGAAGGAACAAGAAACAGAACAGTGGCGGCTACTAATATGAATGCCACAAGCAGGTGCATGGCCTAAAATTTTACTTTGTAAGATTAACAAGTGCATCTCATTGTATGGAAGATGGGTGTCTGGGATGTCTAGGGGCCTCCACTGTCCCCAGCAAGCACTTAGATAGAGAACTGCTCCCATAACAGACAAAATATACCCCAACAAGCCAGCCATGATCCTCTACACCACACTCAGTTGTCCAGCACTCATCCCGCTTCAAGGGGAGGGAAGGGCGCAAAAATGAAAATGAAGAACACATCTAGTGAACTAGTCGGCGATTAGATCATACTATTTCCCGCTCGCCCAAGATAAGGTCTCTTTAAAAATGCAGCTAGGAATTGTTTTTTAACCTCTGTCAATGCATCTTTGAATAACACCCAAACTCTTAACCAGGCGCGGATCCACACCAGTTTCCACCGTTCCACAGAAATCGGTCATATTTTCAATTAAAAAAACTCTCCAAGTTGAAAGTTTGCCAGTATCACAAAATGAAAATTGACCTTGAAATAATCCTCTGATTTGCAAGGCTTCATCCGAGGACAAAGGAACTGGCTAATGTCCCTTCTGAAGGACTCAGAGACCCATGAGAGAGGACTTTAAAAGGAAGTTAAAATCCAAAAAATATCCTGCGGGAGCATACTCCAGACCCCCCCTCGAAGCTTTCATCCTCAGCTTTTCGATAGGAAATCAGTCAGTATTTATCCTAGATCCGCACCTGTAAACACTACTTATTGTTTTTCCTGTGCTGACTTTTTTAGTCGTGCGCACACAATAGTAGGTGTGACCTTCACACAGAAGAGGAAAAATGAAGCTGGTGAAGAGACGGCAAAAACATCGTTAATCAACCTGGTGGATTTGGCCGGAAGGTGTGTGATTTTTCTTTCACTGAAATTCTAAAAGCTTTTCGTTGTTGATGCAGATTGTGTACGAGTTCTACTTTTAGTACACATAAAAACTGTAAATCATGTGCCGCCCATTAAGATTGCAGGGTCTTAAGCTCTATACATTGTATCTTTTAAAAAGAGACCCTTTGTGGCAATCTCCCATGAGGGTTTTGCTTTCTGCGTTGTCACTTAAACAGGAGATGCAACTATGTGAGTATAAAGAACCTTAGAATCCTTTATAGTAGAGTGTGGGTGATTATTATATTTGTTGTTGCTCCTTGATAAGTGTCTGAGAATTAACTGAGGCAAAACTTTAAAAGTCAATGACAACATTTACCTTTCACTGGTCATAAAAAAAGCAAGTTGCTGTTCCAGATGTTGGTACAATAAATAATAGTTTGGTTTTGGTTTTGAACAGTGAACGTGCAGATTCTACTGGGGCCACAGGAGACAGGCTTAAGGAAGGAGCAGCCATTAACCAGTCATTATCCAGTCTGGGAAATGTCATTGCTGGTANACCTTTCACTGGTCATAAAAAAAGCAAGTTGCTGTTCCAGATGTTGGTACAATAAATAATAGTTTGGTTTTGGTTTTGAACAGTGAACGTGCAGATTCTACTGGGGCCACAGGAGACAGGCTTAAGGAAGGAGCAGCCATTAACCAGTCATTATCCAGTCTGGGAAATGTCATTGCTGGTATGAATGTTATTTGACAAGTTTGCCGAACTTTTATATTTTCATATTGCACTTGATCTGTCCCATTTCTATTTGATAAATCTTTAATCTGTTTTCCATTCATTCCACCTATTTTTGCTGTTCCACTGAAATGTACTTTGTAAGATTTGTGGCTTCTCATTTTTCTGTTTCTAATTTCATCCGCCTCCTATTCACTTCCCATCCATTCCTTTTTTGCCCACTTTTTTAGTCAACTGTGCCTTTCTTAGTTGACTTTTATCTTTCTAAAACACATCCTTGTTGTTTGCCTTGCAACATTTTAACATCCACAATTCTTTTATTGAATTGTAGCTCTTGTAGACAAAGCAAATGGAAAGAATGTCAGAGGTAGGTCACAATGTCCTCATACTCATTATTATCAGTCCTCTTAGCACCCATTGACACATAGGGCATAGGCTGTCACTTGAACTATTCTGAGTGTGAACACTTCTATTCCGTTGTTATCATTTTATACTAATTTAAAATCACTTGTTTTTAGTTCCCTTTAGAGACTCCGTTTTGACAAAACTTCTGAAGAATGCTCTTGGAGGAAACAGCAAGACTATGATGGTGAGAATGACGTACATTGGTGAAGAAAGAAAAAAAGCCATTTTCGATTTTTTTGTTCCCAATACATCACCCTAGCTGCATCGCTTACATCCGGGCTAGTCCCTGACACTGCTCACTGTAACCTTCCGGGGGGTACCCCCTATAAAAGTGACAGGGTGCTCGTCGTACCTTTTAGGGGTTTAAATTTGTCGATTGGTACCGCTTAGGGTGCTAAAGCATAAAATGACCGCTGCCAGAGTTGATACGCTTTATTAGGATAAAGATTTATGACCATACTTTCAAGAAGTCCTTGAGAAGAAAGCGTTCGAGAGTTATCGTCATTACTATTAGAATTTGCAGTGCCAGTTATATAATTTGTTGTCGTTGAATTACTTCCCCTTAGGGGTGGAAATGAATTTGGGACACGCCCATAAAACAAGATTCTGGTACCTTTTAGGGGTGTTCCGACATTTTCCGACGAGCAACCCCGTCACTTTCCTCATATGATGGCCCATCAGGAGTTACGATTATGCCATCTGTTATAACGTAGCCTGTGCCGCAGACGAAACTCTTGTAAACTCTGGTTAAGTCCGTCTGCGAAACAGCGCCAAAATCCTTGTTCTTGGCCCTCACCTGTATACCAGGATTTGAGTACGCGGCATGATTGGCCTGTTAAAAAAGCCATTGTCGATTTGCCAATCAAGATGACAGAAAATTCGATACGCTCTTCCGGTAATTCATTGAGACCTTTGGGTCCAGAACAAGGATATCAGCGCTTCTTCGCAGACGTTACTAACCGAGGTTAAATTTCGTCTGCGACCCAGGCTGTCATAACGCAGAACAGAAATGTCTTCAGCCCAATATGCGATCTTTTACTACCTTAATATCAAAGGATCAGTTAGTGTCTCGACTTTTCCCTTGTCATGCAGTGAGAGGACGTTGTAAAAGGGAAGTATCACCTGATATGCATTGTGTTTAATGACTGTCCTTACTTAGATTGCTGCTATCAGCCCAGCAGACATCAACTATGATGAAACACTGTCAACATTAAGATATGGTAAGTTTTTTTTCTGCCTGTCTTAATAGATTTCTTGCAACGTTTTGTCAACTTCACACATAATCATTTTGAACATTTTAACATAAAATATGATGCACAATCTTTCAATTTATAGCTGACCGTGCGAAACAGATCAAGACGACAGCTAAAGTGAACGAGGATCCTACAGAAAAACTGATTAGAGAGTTAAAAGAGGAAAATGAGAAACTCATGGAAATGTTGAAGAAAGCGCAGTCAGGGGAGGCTGTGAAATTATCGGCAGATGATGATGACGATGATGACGACGAAAGCCAGAAAGAGGGTATGAGCGAGGAAGGTAAGTCCAGAACATGTTATTTGGGTGAATTTGTCTACTTATCGTTGTCCATCGCTGCTCTCTTAGGCGAATGGAGTATTAAAAAATTCACCTGAGGATTCTGCTCATTGATCTGTTTGCTGTTTGCCATTTTCAGAATTGGCGGAGCTCAGGAAACAAATAGAAGAGGAAATCAAAGCTTCAGTAAGCCATTCATTACCTGCAAACAACAAATGATTATTAAGTTATCTTTTTTGAGGCCGATACTGACCCGTGCTTTTTTTTTTTTACTTAAAGATGGCTCAGACAGAACGCGCAACTGAAGACATGAGCAAAAACTGGGACGATCGAGTTGCAGAGTCCAATCAGGACGCTAAGGTATAACTAGCCCCTAATCACCACTTGCACGACGCGTAAATGTTCCTTTTTAATGTGGTGATAAGATATTGAAAACTTAACATACACACGGGACAAAGTGTTTCATCACATTGCAAACACCAAGTTGAAAATAAGACGCCTACCAGAATAGCTTTGACCGACTTCGACGGTGGTCACACATTCAGTGACTTTGTACGATTTCGTCCACAGGCTCAGAAGTTTGAGTCACCTTGTACAGTATAGTAAAAAGTAGAAATAGAACGTATTACCCAACAGTTTAGAGGTACCCATCACTTAACACGGCATCGAGATGTTGTACTTTCAGTGAATGACTCTCTCTTTAGCCAGTCCAGTTCATATCATGAGTATTGTTTCTCTAATCTGAAGGACAATGAGGCTGAGAAAAAGGAGCGCCAAACGACCCCTCATTTGTGGAATTTGAACCCAGATCCTCAGCTGACAGGAATGATTGTGCAAATGATAAAACCTGGTAAGTATAATTGTCTCGTTGTATCAACCAAACAACTTGACATTTCGAGAGAGCTTGTAACTGAAAGCTGTATTAGGATGTATTATTTGTAAATGGAATTAAAACTTGGATTTTGCGCTTGCGCACGCCCTACTTTTAGCCTGCATCGCAATGATAGGAAGAGCCAGCCTGATTTTCAGCTTGACGCGAAGCATTTTCACGACTTATATACAAGCTTAAGAGATAAAAAAATGATTAATCCTCTTTTAAACGGTGTACAAAACTTCATNGTGAATGACTCTCTCTTTAGCCAGTCCAGTTCATATCATGAGTATTGTTTCTCTAATCTGAAGGACAATGAGGCTGAGAAAAAGGAGCGCCAAACGACCCCTCATTTGTGGAATTTGAACCCAGATCCTCAGCTGACAGGAATGATTGTGCAAATGATAAAACCCGGTAAGAAAATTTATCTCGTTGTATCAACCAAAGAACTAACCATTTCGAGATTCCCGCCACCGTGTAATATCCTCTATGTATTAGAGCGGTTTTCACTTGACTGTCGAGAGTAATTGGTTTTGGTTTTGGTTTTGGTTTTACTACGCCCTTTGGTTGGCTAGTGTATTTACTTTGGTTCTGGTTTTACGACAGTCAAGTGAAAACCGCTCTATTTGTAAATGGAATTAAAACTTGGATTTTGCGCCTGCGCATGCCCTACTTTTAGCCTGCTTCGCAATGATAGGAAGAGCAGACTGATTTTCAGCTTGGTGCGAAGCGTTTTCACGAGTTATATTCAAGCTTAAGAAATGAAAAAAAAATAATTAATCCTCTTTTAAACGGGTACAAAACTTCATTGGCCTATCCATCTATCAGTACCCAATTTTGATGCGCGAAAATATATGTACTTTCCTGGAAAATGTAACGCTTTACTTTCCTGCTGCTACTGTTTTAGAGAAATTAATATTGTTGCATGTTGTCCTGATATCATTACTTTCCTTTTCCTTTCCACTTTAGGAGCTGTGAAAGTTGGTAACAAAAAAGCTGATCCGCCAGTAGATATTGCTCTCGTTGGATTGAAGTAAGTTGTTGTAAAAGAACTGTAAATTAAATTCTTGCCATAACGTTAATAGTAGACCCAACAGCATTAGAGAATTGTACGTGCTCTCCTTGTACCAGTGTTCAAAAGATGTGCTGTTTAGAGATGGACGTGCGTCCTTTTTTTTACCAATGTCATTGACGTCTGGGTCAATTCATATTTGGTTTAGTATTCAGAAGGAACACTGCGAAATCAAGAATGAGGATTCTAAGAAGATCACCATCAGAGCCATTGGTGACGCCAGAGTTCTTGTAAACGGTGAACCAGTGGATGATGACGAAGAGGAAGAACTACATCATCTTGACAGGTATTTCTTGGGTGGTTGTTATTGTCATACAATATTTTACATTGTTTTCTAAATAAGGCGAGGCACATCATCGTTGTATTATTGGTTGGTTTTAAATGTTGTTAGCTCATCACAACGGTCGACGGGCCTTGTATTCTCTTTATTAACAGCACCTTGGATTCCACTACGTCGCCTTCCAATAGACGAAGGGGGTGAAGGAGGCAAAGGTTACCGAATGTTCTTACCACCCTGGTCATTAGGGAGGCCAACACTTGAACCAACGACCTCTCACAAGGCTAGAGACGATCACTCTGCCATTAACTTAGCTATTAAACCCGACCGAGGAAAGGGATGTGTAAACCTTGATCACTATTTCTAGCACATCTGGTCTCTCTTTCTCAGTAGTTGTTTTGTTTTCCTTGTCAGGGTGATGTTTGGAACAAGCCATTTGTATGTTTTTCACCATCCGGCTGAAGTGGAATCTTCTTCTGTAAAACAGGCGGATATTACGTACGAAATGGCTCAGGAAGAAATCGCCAAAAATGCCGGACTTGATGTGGATGATCAGGAAGAATCCAAAAGTGATTCAACTTTTTTTCTCTACTAAGAACTTGACAAAGAAGCTTACCTTGTTGCCTAGAGGGAAAATGATTGTTGCTATTTGGATTAAAGGTGTTTGTTATTATTCCGCTATAGAAGCAATGTTGTTACGTGAGGACCTGGCTGACTTGATGCCCATGGTGAATGAAGCGAATGCTATTAGTCAAGAGTTGGATAGGAAGGTAAATTACAATGCTACACTATCATAAACGGTTAACGGTCATCTCGCCCCCAAGAAGTCGACTCGTCGCCTATCAAGACGCTTCCAACTGTGTAGCCTGCGTAGATTGGAAAATTGGGAGAGGGTCAAGTACCCCGGGTATAGCAATCCAGGGTTCGACAAGGGTTATCATCTGAGATCTAGGTGAGTAGACTGTGTTTCTTGGTGGCGAGTCTACTTCTTGGTAGCAATTTCGGATACCTCATAAACAGATTAAGTGGACTGCTGTTGAGTTTGTTTTCTGCTTGTCTCGTACCAGGTTCTGCCACATATAAGTGCTCTGGTACATGGGTGTTATTCGTTGAGGTCCTCGCAGTGTTTAATGATCCTGGTTAATTTTTGCTACTTTGCAGGCTTCGTTTGAAGTTGTAGTTGTTTCTGCTAAAGCTCGTGGACTCCCTGATGGAAGGCCAGAGGTAAGTGTCGAGGAAAATGATTTTGGAAGGCACATTTTCGGATCTGCATTTCTTAATGTGTTGTATTTGGGTTTTACTTTTTTCTACATCATAATGTTACAGAAACGCAGGAAAACATCGGAGAAAAAAATTAAACTACAACAAACATTTACAGATTATGTTATTGGAAACTCCTCCCGTCATTGAACAACAGATTGTGGGACGAAATGGTACACGTTTTTAGCCCGCTTTGCATAGGGTCCCCGAAAGGGTTATTCAATCCCGTAATCCCGAGGGTTGTTTTCGACATCCCGCTTCCTGTGCGTACTTTAAATCCCTAATCTCGCCCCCATTTTGCTTTAAATCCCGAATCCTGGCCGATCCTGGCCCTAAAATAAGGGAATCCCGGATCCCGAAAAACATATATGGGCGACCCTCTTCATAGAGTGGTATCTGTCAGTATTATCCAAGTATTGAGTTCAGCGTCTATCTATATCTATTCAGCCCTACGTAGTTATGAAGGACTTGCAAAGCGGTGCAGAATACCTGTGGTCTCGGACCAAATTCATCAATCGCAAGTTTGTCATGCAAGATATGTTTGAGAATTATGAGGATGGCGATGATTGGCAGCTACCAGATGAGAAGGATCCCTTCACTGAGAGTGCGGATGCCGAGAGTCTTATAGGTTGTGTGGAAGTTTCCATGCAAAGTCTTGGATATGTGGTGAGTTGAAATTTGCAAAAAGGATAGTCTGAGAAAACAGCCGACATTTGGCGACGCTACCACTAGTTTCCCCGTCAAATGATGTCTGAGAAGCGAGGCCAGAAATTCCATACTCATGACGCGTCACTACCCAGATCTGGGTAGTAACGCGTCATCAGTATGGAATTTCTGCGCTCGTTTCTCAGACGTCATTTGGCGGGGAAACCAGTGGTAGCTTTGCCAAATGTCGGCTGTTTTCTCAGGCTACAAAAAGGATAAACTATTTTAATTCTGATTTAGTATAGTTCTCTCCAGTTAAGGACAGCTTTTTACATACGACACAAACATAAGCACAAGACGCAAAAGCATATAGGTTCGCTTACCTTAATGAATTTGTTTACTCGGATGTCTTAATTCCCTGTGTAACTTTTCTTTCAGCTGGACATGAGAGAGCAGCTTAGTATCACGGACTACAAAGGGAGAGAAGTTGGCTACTTAAATGTAAGGAGACAGTAGATTACACCCATATGTTTTAAGCGCAATGTAAGTATTACTACGTTCCTTTTCTCATGTTGTGCCGTTGTAGGTGGAAGTGGTACCGTTAAACGATAAGGGAAACGAAATCACAGAGGACGACGATATATTCATAGACGAGCCCCAACAACTGGTGAGCAATTCATCACGTTCAACTCATGGCTTTATCACTTACGTTCAACAGAGATTAAAGACCAACAATTCTTAAGCGTTCGTAGTACCACATATAAGGTGTATTGACATCATATAGTTAATACCTCTCGCATCTCTATTTTCTGTAGGAAGGAAAGAAACTGGATTTCGTGGTACGCGTGCACAGTGCAAAAGGAATACCAAAACGATACACGGTAGGTACTAGTGAAACTAGGGGGGAGAGGGGCACTTTCTTCTTTGGCCTAAATGGGTATGTGCCGCTGAACAGGATATGCTTTTCAGGGTCTTGAGCCTTAAACGGTGTACACAATTTCACTATTTCCCTTCTTGAACATGGTGCCTTTTTGGATCAGACGGCTCTAAAAGAGTGTTAAGGTTAGCGATGAGCGGTCTACATTTGTGGTATGAAGTTTGTTTAAAAAAGTAACTTAATTCTGTATGCAGAGCGAAACGAATCAGGGTCATTAAGTACGATCTCTTGCAGCAAAATGAACAATTTTAGTCTTAAACAGGGTAAGGCTGTGAAGGTCCTGGCGGCTCAACAGTCCAAAGGTGATGTTACACGAGACGATTCGTAACGGCTATTTTTTGTACAAGACATCATTTCAACATCGTTGCCACAGTGTTTCGAATGGTTGCAACATGGTTCCAACATTGCTAAGCTGTGTTGCGCAAAAAAGTCGTCGTTGCGAATCGTCCCGTGTAACATCACCCTAACTCTGTTTGCTAACGTTGTCTGTGCACTTTACAACTGAATGTATTATGTTTTGTTGTTACAGGATGTATACTGCAAGTATTCCATGTACCTTGAAGATGACATTAAGACCAAAGTGATATCAGGAACAAGGAATCCTGAATTCAACTACGAGAGACGGTTTACCTTTGAGCAGTGCACACCCAAGGTAACGAATCTGTTCCCGGATAGGAATGGTCGGTACTTTGAGGAGACCAAAGTCACAATTTGTAGTCTGCAAATCTCAGGCCATATTAATCTGTTTGTAGCTGTCGGTAACTTCAGAAAACGTTTGGAACAGTTGTTCTGTAGACCTGACTCATCATCTCATTAAAGCTTCTGTCAAACAGCTTCAAACGGCACAACATTTGCTCTCGTTCCCAGTCGTCCTCGGCGATTTCGGATGTGACGTCACCTGTCAAGCTTGTCGGGAAAATCCGCCGAGGACGCCTCGCGCTATCGCGCTCGGTTTCAAGCCTTCTCTGGTCACTTGGATAGCGCCAACTGGCCTGGGTATAACGCTGAACCCCATCATAACAATGTTGCAAGACCCTGAGAAGGCTTTCTTTTGTTCTTGAAATGGAGAAACTGACCCGCTCTAACTGCTTTTCATGACATTGGACAAAGGAAGGCAACACTTCTTCCTCGACTCTCTCTTTTCAAATACCGTAAATAACCTAAGAATCGCCCGGGGCGTCTATTTAATTTTAGGGGTCCAAGCGGGGGCGTTTATTTAGTAGAGACTGGCGTTTCTTCTCATAACTGTAACAAGTTAAACAAAACTAATATGCTTTCGGCGAAAACATCAAAAGAGCTTAGAAATTGCGGAATATCCACTCCATCAAAACGTCATCACTCCGTCTAAAACGTCTAGATATCCATATCGCTCTTTCAAATCCCAACATCGATATCCAAATACTCGCTCAGGGTTATTGTGTTGCCATCGGTATTGAACAAGATGAAATACGCAAAGCCTTGTTAATCAAGCAAGAAACTGAATGAATTGAATGATTTCGCTCCTTTTTACTGACTCCTAGTATTTTGGAGCAATTCTCATAGGGGGCGTCTATTAGACAGCGGGCGTTTATTAGAGAGTGGCGTCTAATACAACTTTAACAGTGTAGAGGGGGCGTTTATAAGATAAGAGGGGTTTATATGGAAGTGGGCGTTCTTTAGGTCATTTACAGTAAGCAGTACCACGTAACTTTGCCGCCGTCTTGATTTTGGGTAATGCCACGTGCCGCGTCGCGCATGGAACAAGTACTCGTGCATAGGCAGGTTACCTAATTTTCTTTTCTTTCGTATTTATTTATGGTCAAAAATATTTGGTCAAAAATTGTACTTATGTTGAAACAATGTTGCAAGTGTTTGACTAGGGCTTTAGTTGTTTTGTAGATTGCAAATTAAAAAGTTACACCATTCATTTTTTATTGTTTCTGTTGTTTTTCCTTTGATTTGTTTTATGACAGTTTATCAAGTTCCTGATGGAGAAATCAGTCATGGTTCAGCTGTGGGGTAAACAAGTCGTGGAGAAGAAACCGGTGAACAAGGCAGCTAAAAAGGGAAAAGATACCAAGGCCATAATGAGGAAGGAAACAGTTAAACAAAAGGTAAGAAAGAGCATCAGGCAAGAATGGTGATTACAGTACTGTTCACATCGAAAAGACGACGTATGTAGATTTAGTNTGATTTGTTTTATGACAGTTTATCAAGTTCCTGATGGAGAAATCAGTCATGGTTCAGCTGTGGGGTAAACAAGTCGTGGAGAAGAAACCGGTGAACAAGGCAGCTAAAAAGGGAAAAGATACCAAGGCCATAATGAGGAAGGAAACAGTTAAACAAAAGGTAAGAAAGAGAATCAGGCAAGAATGGTGATTACAGTACTGTTCACATCGAAAAGACGACGTATGTAGATTTAGTAAAGGCCAAAAGCAAAACTGAAGCCAGAAGCAAACTGAATTCCTCCTGAAAAATGAACCTGAGCTTGCGGCGGACTTAAAAAAAACATTCACCTCAATGTTTTGAACGCCTGAGCCCCCGACACAGTCATGTGACATTGGTCAGCGGATACCCTATTTTGACACCTGTCAATTGACCTTACCATGGATGTCCAATATCAAGTTAATCAAACTAAGATTGTATAGGAGAGAGAATAGTTAACATCGTGGGGCAAATTACAAAAAATGTTAAGGGCTTCAGTTTCTAGAAATGGATGTTTCAGGGACCAATAAGAGACTTCACAGAACGCAGAATCTATAAAACTGAAATTTGGAGGACCCAACCTCTCTTATTTGGGGGGATCTGCTCCTATTTAAATGATTGCTTGTGATTGGCTGGGAAAACAATAGGGATTGTGACAAAACAAGGCGACCAATGAAATAAGAGGTTTAGAACGGTGAAGGTCAACCGGGGGTGCGGAAAATGTACTCGGTAATTCTTAAGTCATCCTAGAACTTCAACTACTATGACAAATCACACCCGCTTTGTATAAATCTACTTGCATCACTTCGCGGATCTTTGAGTTATATTTAAAACTAACACACTGAACCTTGGACGTCCTGGGGCGATTGTCATCTTGTTCCCATTCCCTTCAGCCCTGGCGCGCGCCTTCCTCCTTAAGACATAAAAACTTAACCGGCAAGAGTTTGGGGTAATTGAACGACCTTCCATTTTAGGTTTCATTGAATCCACAAATGGTGAAGGGCATGGCGGAGATGACCACCCTTAGAAAGCAAAACAAGCGACTTCAGGATAAAATGGCACAGCTTCGCCAGATGTGCGATAAACACCAGTCAGAAGGTCAAACAACTTTAGCGGTATGTACAATCACAGCTGTTCTCTGCTGAACCGATGCAAAAAACGCAATGAAATAGGGCTTTAATAGTCCAATTTCGATATGTTAAAATTAGAGTTGAATCTCTTCACAACGGACTCCTTGGGGCAGAAGAAAGTGGCCGTTGTAGAGAGGTTTAAACAAGAGTCAATGTATGGACTGTCCGCCCAAAAAAGTGACCGTTGTAGAGAGGTGGTCGTTAGTGGAGGTTCGACTGTACTTGGCTCCGAGGCTTGGGGGAATAAAACAAAAGAAATGTATTCCCTCAAGCCTTGGAGCCAAGTTGATCTATTAATTTTTCGACACCGTTAGACAGTCTAAAGTCTCTGAATTAATCCAGCTCAAAGTCAAGGCTCTGTTTTCTCGTTTTTGTTTTCAGATAACTGACGTACGAGCCATCATCGGGGATACGAATGCAAATACTCAACCTGCTCCTAACCAGCCTTCGAACACGGCGGCCAATGCTCAAAGAACCCAAAGAAAAGAGAATACAGCGGAGAGCAGCGCATGCGCAATCTTGTAACTTAAGAAAATCGCCCTCGCAAAGCACGTACTGTCGCAACAGACGGTACAATTAACAGAATGCCAGTCGTTTTACAGGCGTTTCAGTCATACGTACGAAGAAATCCAAGCGCTCATTTCGGAAAAGAGTGCAAGTGAAAGAACCAAATAACTAGAACCGAAATCTCGTTAAAAAACAGTTAATAAGGAGCTTAAGCAAAGACGTTTTTGAGCAACGCTCGTCACCCGGAAGGAGACGTTTTGCATTCTTGGGTAGTGGTTTTGCCCAAGTTTGCGGGCAGATCGTCTCTACAAGAGTAAAGATACTTAGACTTAGCAATACAAATTGGCAGCGTCAAGACATATTAAAAGAGGAAAAGGCCTCCAGTTGACGTGCGTCGCCCAAAAACGTGTTGGTCCCAAATAATTGGTTCCGCAGACTTCCAAAGGAAGGCAGCGACAGCCGGTCTTTTGTTTCTCAACATAGCAATCACCTTTCGTATTGGCTATTTTGAGTTTGCGCTTGGGTCGGTGGTGTGTTTTGTTTTGTTGTAGGACTGTTTTGGAGTATTAATTTTATATTAGTAGTCGTTTGAGTCAATAAAGAGGGCTAGCGTTCCCAAAACCGTCCCGTAATACACCTCGACAAAATACCGCCCCAGTCTCTACTCTCCAGTTTCAACCTTTCGCCGAGAATTGACGTCTTTTGAAGAGACAAAGTAATTACCTCGAACAGCGATTATTGCTTCGGCTTGAAATTTTGCGGTCGTTCTTCGTGCGTCTTTTCAAGGACAGTACGAAGTAGCATAACTAGTAATTTTCCCGGGAAAATAATTGTACATAGAATTGCACACTACACGCTGGGTGCGTTTTGCATCTCGGNTAATTGGTTCCGCAGACTTCCAAAGGAAGGCAGCGACAGCCGGTCTTTTGTTTCTCAACATAGCAATCACCTTTCGTATTGGCTATTTTGAGTTTGCGCTTGGGTCGGTGGTGTGTTTTGTTTTGTTGTAGGACTGTTTTGGAGTATTAATTTTATATTAGTAGTCGTTTGAGTCAATAAAGAGGGCTAGCGTTCCCAAAACCGTCCCGTAATACACCTCGACAAAATACCGCCCCAGTCTCTACTCTCCAGTTTCAACCTTTCGCCGAGAATTGACGTCTTTTGAAGAGACAAAGTAATTACCTCGAACAGCGATTATTGCTTCGGCTTGAAATTTTGCGGTCGTTCTTCGTGCGTCTTTTCAAGGACAGTACGAAGTAGCATAACTAGTAATTTTCCCGGGAAAATAATTGTACATAGAATTGCACACTACACGCTGGGTGCGTTTTGCATCTCGGTAAATAACAATAGAGTAGTTTCAGTTTGTAGAAATGTTGTGGGTAGATTACGACGGTGTGAAAAAATATTTAATTAAAAGGTGTTTTTTTAACTACTTCGTTTAGCTATTTTGCGTGTCATTTATGCATCACGGCGAAGCGAAGCAGCGCAGAGTTAAGTTTCTTTACCAAGCACGCAAGGCTATAAAGCCCGGTCTCCGAAGCGTTAACCAACAAAGCCTGGGTTCTGAGGCGTTAGCCAGCAAACATCTTCGCCTCCAATTCTGAGGTTAAGCGAGTCGTCCCCATTCCTTTAGACTCAGAGCCCTTCGCAACAATAGAAGTCCCAGGGCAAGGTACGCTTTCGTATGTTCCGCTCACATTTTTGCCCTTGGCACTCGATTTTGGCGACTCCGTTTGTAGGCAAGACTAATGGAAAAACGTTATTATCATGCTGCAGTTCCTGTGTTTTAAGCCATGAGTTTAGTGTAAATCAACACGGACTGGGACTACAGACTACAGAGAACCGCACTACTATCAAATTTGGCCATTTCCTTTTTCCAACCCCCCTCAATTTTAAAAGAAGGCCAACTGCAAAACGTTTCGGGCAAAACTGATATTTAAGGCTATGTTCACTATACCGAATAGCTTTCGCGACCCACGAAAAGCTATGTGAATAGCTATCGGATACGTGACTCTTCACTTAAGGGATCGGCACGGCGCAGCTCCACTCCGCGTTTCAGAAATCCTATCCGGTATGATTTTAGCAATAGAAAACGTTTTCCGTGTTTGCATAGCCTGATATAAAAACGAGAGGGGATGGGAGAATTCGAGACAGTTATGCAAACCCGAGACGAAGTCGAGGGTTTGCATAACTGTCGAGAATTCTCGCAACGCCTCGAGTGTTTATATCAGGCTATGCAAACACAGGAAAAAAAGTTTTCTATTGCTTTTATATAATAACTTTCCCGGGAAAAAACGTAAAACTCTTTGTATGGCACTGATAAAGAAGAGAAATTCTTACCAGGCGCAAAATCTTGTCCACGAAGTCTTGCACGCGTAATCAGCTCTTGTTTTGCAAAAAGATGCTTTGCAAAATACGGATTTTTGTCGCTTAAAATGTCAGCTTAAGCGAAGAAAGATTGACTCACCTTCTTTGTAACGATTTTCCATGTTTCAGCCGACGAAGGAATGGGTAAATAAAGTACACTTGTCGAGTTTTGAACTCGAAAACGTTTTCAAATTCGTGCTTGCGTGATTAGCGCGCGAAAAGCCAAACAACTTGACACCACAACCATGTTTACATACTCTGATGCAAACACTCCCCTCCGCCAATCAGACCGCGCGTACTATCTTAGTTATTGTCTAATGGTTAATGTGATCACTCTGAGCCTCTTTTTAAGAAATTAAACATTCTTAAATTAGCTGATCTTGTTACCCTTCATAATGCACTCCTCATGTATAACTATGACCATAATCTTCTTCCATCTTCCTTTGAAAATTTCTTTAAAACGGTAGCATCCATACACTCATACAATACCAGGCTTGCTTCTAAATCAACCTATTACCTCAATACTATCAAAACAAACTATGGTAAATTCAACTTTCGCTTTGCGGCTGTAAAAGTTTGGAATAACCTTGATGAAAGCATTAAACCTTTAAAAACAAAGTCATGTCAAACATCTTACAGTCTTACTGTTCGTGAGTCTTTTTTCTTTTTTTTTTCTTTTTTTTTTCCTTTGTCATTTTTTTCCTTTTATTTATTTATTAATTCCTTGTTTGTTCTAGCTTTAGTGCCAACCTACCTCCTATGCCTGAACATTATTTAGCTTTACTCAGCTCGATTAGCTTTTTAGTTATTCTGAGTAAATGTTACCTTTTTTTGTATTAATATATTATATTGTAAATTAAGTTAACTTTTATTTGGTAATAAAGCTTATGTTGTTGTTGTTGTTGTTGTTGTTAATGGAGGCCTTGAATAACATCGACCAATCACAGCCCAAAAAATCCCTGAAATCACTGCACATTAAGCTTGTGCCCATTCTCCCTAGTGTTTCTGCAACCTCGTTCCCAGGTTCTCTCTCGCTCCGTAGGGACGGGTATGAGAGAACCCTGGGAACGAGGTTGCAGTTTCTGAAGTGGGGAATCTTCCAAGTCTAGTATTTCCTTCGTCAAAATTTCGCGCATTAACGAAAAACTGCGACAGCCACTTCCTGAGCACCAGAAACACAGTCATAATGCAATATGAGTTAATTTATTTCGATCAATAATACAAGATGTAATGGCGGATTTTCGCCAGGATAAAACTCGGTCAAAAATATCACCTAGAAAATAGTATTTATCGAATGTATCACAACTGTACCCAGTGTATGACCATGCCGTAAAAATTTAATTTAATTTGCTGACTGGAAAGCAATGAGCTGCCATCAATTTAAGCACGAGGCTTCTTCGAGAGAAGATCTCCCGGGAATTTTTATGTTGAGCTAGTATAAAGTTATTAATTGGGGAAGCCTTCTTAAAGCTCCCATTACTTAATGAAGACCAACAGTGAGTATATGTTGTGAGTAAAATTTTGTTTTTTGTACGGTCCTGGCACTAATCGCGAAGTTTGTTCAAGGTGATTGATGTGTTTATGAATTAAAAACTGGAACATATAGAATTCGCAAAAAGAATCTTTAGAAATATCTGTCGATTCTAAAAGAGTAAGAGATAAACCTTTGTCAGACAAAATTGGCGTGCTATGGGTAGTTACATGGACTAATTCTTTTACGGTTAGTAAAGCGCATGCATGAAACTAACCTTTACAAGATATTCTGACGAACCAAAAGAGCGTCTACGTAAGAGGCTGGCAACAATGATCACGACATTCTTAGAAAACAGCTGACAAGAAATAAACTCGACATGATAAAAACTGGCGATTAACGTCGTGAAAGTATCAGAGAATTGCACTCGCCGCGAAGACGCTACGGTTGGCTACCGTTTGGGGATGTGAACTAAAATTTCATAACAACCTAACCTACATTTTCGATAGTTATAATTCGTCTCTCTTGGCGTCTGGTTCGCTCTCAGGTTGATCAGGGGGGAGGGGGTGAGGAGGTGACATCATAAAGGACACAAAGTCCTGATCTGTTCTGTCGCCATCGTACTCCACCACAAAAGCGCCAAACTTGTAATACTTGATGGTCGGGTAGCCATTTACGCCTTGCTTGTCGCATAAATCTGTGCAGTAAAAAAATAAAAGAAGATCATCTTAAGATGGAATCCATCAGGAAATTAAGTAATTTTAATTTTCAGTGGACAAAAACCTTTTACCAGAATTAATTTAAACCATATTGCATTCTTTTTTACATTTTTCAAGTGCTACAGATGTAATTAGTTATGTGTAATAACACCAAAGAAAATTTCTTATGGGAGCCCGAGAAAGTAAATGTCAAATTTCACAAGAATTGTGAAAAAACAGGCACAGTTCTGAAAATTTCATGCGCAAGATGTCATTTTGTGAAGTTTGATATTTATTTTCTCGAGCTCCCATAAGAAATTTTCTTTGGTGTTATTACACATAACTAATTACATCTTTAGCCCTTAAAAAATGTACAAAAGAATGCAATATTCTTTAAATCATTCTGGCACAAGGTTTTTGTCCCCTAAAAATTAAAATTACTCAATTTCCTGGTGGATTCAGTCTTAAATGTAAATTAGAAAATGTCACCGCCTGCATAGAACGATACAGTCGAACCTCCCGTAAACGACCACTCCAAATGCGAAGTTTCAGTGGACGCTTCAAAGAATCTAACCAAAAGGGGTCCTTTCCGAGTAGGGGTCCCGAGGGAAGGCGAAGGAGAATTTACTCCATGAAATTTCTAAGTTACGATGCCTGTTGTCACTAAAAGCTCTTGGTACACACCGAGTAGCGTATGCGCAGTACATACAGTGAACTAGCAAAGAGATCAGACCATGCGTCAAGTGATCGCCTACGACAGGTTATCCCTTTAAGCCGCAGTATCCACATACAAATTCTCCAAACTGATCTCCATACATTTCCTTAAAGAATTAGTTGAGAGAATTTGATGATAGATCAAGGCAGTTTCTCTTGGGTGATCATCTTATTAATTCTCATAACTTATCTCTCGACAGTGTATGGATATTGTTAGGAGAAAATTTATCTTGGTCACTGCTGGGACTTAAAGGATTAAAGAACCATGGAAAATGTTCAAACTTTCTCCCGGAGGGTACTCCTGGGAATTCGTGGTGGAGGTGTGCCGCCCGGTTCTCCAAATCCTGACCCTATTTCAGATCAAAAAATTGTCATTTTCCAGACCCGTTTTCAGCCCTGGCCTCTAAAATCCATACCCGTTTTCAGACCTGGCGTAGGCAGAAATTATGTTATCATTACTTAGATTAGAACGCCAACAAATAGATTTATTAAAATCCACCTCGAATTCGCATATTACTATTTATTTCTTATTCATTTGGAATTGAACGACAAATACGTTCACGCATTCCCTGGAAAACCATACCCGAATTCGGACCAAAATAGGCAAAGTCTATAGCCGTTTTCAGACCAAAACGGCGCAGAAACCCTACCCTTTGGGGCGGCACATACCTATAAGGCGAATATAAGGGAGTAGCACCCCCCTCCCCCTCGGGACTGTCTCCCCAAAAAGTAGTCGCGGTCGCTTACCAGGGGTGGTCGTTTACGAGGTTCCAACTAGAGTAATTTGACTTGGAAAACTTTAGTCTTTTGGATAAGTGGTTACTTATGGGAAGCTGTCCGTTACTAGAGGTAGTCGCACATGAAGGTTCGACGGTGTTGAAATAAGCAGAATGTTTTGAATTATTTTGCATTTAAATTAAATTACGTATTTACCAGTATCCTGTGTACAATCCACAGCGGTGAAAGCCTTGTTCGGTTCCGCAGTAAAAGCCTCAGACGCTTTTAGAAATTTGGGTTTCGCGTTTTGACAATGGCCACACCCTAAATGCAAAGAAGACAACATTTTCAGAACGGCTGTTTAAGTAAATAACCAGAAAAGGCCACGAAGATATCACACGTACCAAGCCAAAACAAAGAACACACCACAGCCGTTGACAAGAGCAGAGTTGACACGTCGCACCAGTTTTCGCTTGGTCTTCGCTTCCACCAAAGGTGCTTGCAGCAACTAAAGCAAACTGATACATTTCGCTACACACTGAGCCATTTCGCTACATACTGAGACATTATCAGATCTCAGTTGCAGGGCGGTGTTCGATCGCATGGAATCGGAAAACGTCGCAGTCGTAAATAAACTGTCGCATGAATCGTCACGCTCGGCAAGTCGTTAGGGATTAGTCACGCAATAGGCCCCACACAGAATGAGTCACGCAGGATACATCACACATAATGTGTCACGAATGAATAGTCAAGAAGAATGGGGAACACAATAAGATAGGTCACGCAGGGTATCTCCAACCATTACTAACCGAGCAATAGTCAAAAGTATGCCCATAAGCATACTCATAATTCATACCAAAATTACATTCAGAATCAGAATCATAAACTTAATATTATTATACTCATTATCAAAAAACACGCCAACAAAGTAACTTTGATCTGAGTTTAGTTAAGTTGTATATGGTTTAAACTCTCAGTAAATACGACCTTTGTACTCACACAGAGTAAAGAACATGACCATCACGTGTTCTGTTTAGCACATTAATTGTAACTGGTTTAAAATCAGGGACTGGGATCAGATAATACGCCATTTGTACTTGTATGGAGCGAACAACATGACTATCACGTGTCTAGTCTGGGACATGAAATGTAACTAAATTGTAACTGGCTTAAACTCAGGGACTGGGATCACTGTAAATACGACCTTTGTACTCACATGGAGCGAAGAACATGACTATCACGTGTTCTGTCTGAGACAGGAATGTGTCAAAGTTTGCAGCTGTCAAAATTTTTAATCCTTCTGGCTCTGTTAGATCTTCTTTGCTTTCCTCTTTGGATACTTTTTCGTCAGGGACTTCAATTTCACTCTCGCTAGGAGATTGCAGAGATTCAATTAGTAAAATGATGTAAAAGATGCCTTGAACAGAATGTAAATGCTGAAAAAGATGGTTAAGTCGAGGAAAAAACTAGATGACTTACGTTTTCATGAAGCTGACTATATCCAGCGCAGATCTATCGCCTTCATACTCTTTTAAAAACTCGCCATTTCTATAAAACAAAAAGGTCAAAATAAGGAAACTTAAATTAAGTAAAGAATTCGCTCAATTGGACAACAAAAGCAATGAAAATAACGATAACAGTTATAGCGAAAATGATAATAACAAAGACTGAAAAGGATAATACTGCTACTTACTTGAAGTATTTCACTGCACTCCCCATCAAGAAATGACAAGCAAACAAAAATGAAAGGAAAGCAAGAGGATTAGATAAACGAGGCAACCTCTCGGTGTTTATTTATCCAACAAAAACATTTGATATTAACTTTTTACCTGTAGGATATCCTTGCACTTCGAACCGTTTACAAAGCCCTTTATATTTTGTGCAGTCAACTGCAGCCAATGAAGTAGACGGCTACAATAGAAGAACAAATTTCTCGTTAACTCTATGGTGTAAGAGAGAGTTGATACCCTGGAAAATTACAAACCACCAGGAGTACATGAAAATAGCGTTGGTCCTTCCCAAAAAGGAATGCTGAGGAAAACGAAAGAAATTTTCGAGGAGAACCACAGTGAAAAAGCGTCGAACTACCACTTACATTTTCTTCACTAAGAATCTCCGCAGCTTTGAAGTAGTTGGGCTTCATAGATTGACAGTAACCGCACCCTGAAAAGAATGGATAGATCGATGAAATGGAATAAACGGGAATGGACGACAAGGTTGAATTGTGAATAGTGGAATGAAAAAGAGAAAAAAAGGAATTCAATGAACGAAAAGAGATAGGATAACGTGGAAAAGAGAGAACAAAATTGACGTGACAGGAAAAGACAGGAATAAGGAAATTGCTAAAAAGCTCTGGTTCTTACTTACAGGGAGCAAACATCATCACTAGCACTGAGGAATGATCCGCCATAAACGAGTCCCAGGTCTTGTCCGTGAGGAACTGCACTTTCCCAGGCTCCTTACTCCAATCGGGTGGCGGAGCAGGAGGGGCGGGCTTCTGGGGACTGGGAAAGGAAACTTACACATTAATATTTTTCTGTTCGCCATTTGAACCTCTCCCATAATACATCTTGTTAGCTCCCCTAGATGTTGCATAAGAATTTGTCTTGGGAAGGCTGTAATACCCAGAAGAAATGAAAAAACAAAGGTTGTCCAATTTTTTTTTTTGGGTGGGGGGGGGGGGGG